CACGATTATTTGCGTGATTCTCATGGGGCCTGCCTTGGCCGTCTTGGGGCTGTCTTGGGCGCACTTGGGGCCGCCTTGGAGCCCTCCTGGACCGTCTTGCGGCCTCGGGGCCGTGCGGAGCCCCTCTCGGCCGTCTGGGGGGTCTCTTGGGGCTGCCCTGAACAGCTTGGGGCCCTCGTGGGCCATCTTGGGGCTCCCGTAGACTGTTCTGGGCCCTTCTTGGGCCGCCTTGGGGTCCTCGTCGAGCTGGCCTGGGCCGTCTGGGGTCTTCTTCCAGCCCCGACCTCTCTTCGACTCATCCGAGGCCCTCTTAGAATCATCTTGGGCCGATTGGCACAGGAAGAGCAACACATTGGAATGCTGCGGTGTGTGTGTGTGCCTTTCTGGAGGGTCTCGTGGCCTTCTGTCTGGTGCCTTGAAGTCTCTTGTGCCCCTTTTGGCGCCCCTTGTGGTTCTCTTGGGCGGGTGTTGGGTGTCTTTTAAAGCAATGTTGAGCCATCTTGGCGGCGCTGGTGGCCTTCCTGGGTCGTCTTGAAAGCCTTGGAGAGCCTTGGAGAACCCCAGGGGTCGTCGGGTTGCCCAGGGCGACTGAGCATGATGAGAGTGTGGTGTGGTTTGTGGGGTGGGCAGTGTGGAATAGGGACTCTGTGCAGAAACCCTGTGGTGCGCCACCTGGCATTCGACCACGCCTCAACGCGGAGGAGGGTCCAGGGTGGCGGATCTCCAGAGAGGCTCTTCTGCTAGGAAGCCGGATGCACGTGACGTGCCCCTGGGCGATCTGGCCACAGCGTTCGGTCCTCTCACGGCTGGGCACGCCAAGGTTTCCGCATGTGTATCCAGCGTGTGGTTTTCGGAGGTTCCACGAGTGAATGCAGCCGCGCGTGTTTCCGGTTTCCTGGCATGAGGCAGCTGGTATTCGATGAGCGCAGCAACAACCCTCTTCAATTGACACCGAACAAGTGGGGTCGGCCGCCGTGCCTAGGAAATGGCATGCTGGCATGCTGAAGAGGAGAAGGAGGATGATCAAGGATCAGCAGCAGGACGAGGGGGAAGAGGAGGAGGAGGAGGACGACGACGACGAGGACAAGGACGAGGACGACTGCGACGAGGATATTTAGCAAGACGACCTCGATGGTGTTGGCGACGACGACGTCCTCGACATTTCCTGAGGCGTCTCCCGACCAGAGTTGTCGAAGCGGATCCAGCCGTGGCCACGAAGCTACCCCCGGTTGTCCAGAGATGACCCAAGACGTCCAGAAGCCCCCACCATCGAGCTTCCAGTTCCCGCATCTCGAGGCCACGCAGGCGACCTCCGCCACGCCTCCCCTGTCCCCGCTCCTCGCCTTATGGCGAGGACGAGGAGGATCAGCACGACGGCGACGACGAACAGGGCGACGCGCGGACAGAGATGAGAAGCACGACGACGACGACGCCGACGACGCCGACGCCGACGCCGCCGACGACGCCGACGCCGACGACGCCGACGCCGACGCCGCCGACGACGACGACGACGACGGCGGCGCTCCCCTGTGGGCGAAGGCCCCCTTAGCCCGTGCCTCGCCCGGCGGCCGCTCGCCCTATTGGCGCCCGAGGCGCCCGCGCGCGCCGCGAGCGCCGAGAGGGGGCGGAAGGTCTCGGGGGCAGCGCCGTGCGAAGGGGGGGCGGAGGAGGAGGAGGAGGAGGAGGCGGAGGAGGAGGAGGAGGAGGCGGAGGAGGCGGAGGAGGCGGAGGAGGCGGAGGAGGAGGCGGAGGAGAAGGAGGAGGAGGGGGACAAGGAGGAGGAAGAGGAGGAGGAGGAGGAGGAGGCGGAGGAACGCGGGGACAGCGCCATGCGTGGGGGCGGGACGTAAGACTCGAGTGCGCCAGAACTCGGGTTTGCCGACTCTTTTTGACGAGAGCGCCTTGGATTTTGACGGTCCAGTTTTCGTAGGAAGACTGCACCAGGAGCTCACGTCAAGCTTAGGCTGGGTCGCGTCATTTTCATGATGGCCCCCTTCAGGCCAACCCGAGTCCCCCGAACTCGAACCCGAGTCCCCGAACTCGAGTCCCCCGAACTCGAGGCTTTCGGGATTCTCAGCGGTTTTCTAGCCGCGGGGTGTGTTGGGTTGTGTTCCTGCAGCTGCGCCTCGCTGAGAGCGTTCCCGGGTTGCCTGGATCACCCCGAACGGCCGCAAGAGAGCCAGGTTACGACCCGAAAACCACAAGGGGCAACGACATGCGTAGGGAGGAACATCGGACGGGGCTAGGACGAGGAGAAATCCGGTCCGTAGCGTTCCAGAACGCTCTCAGAGCTCTCTGGAACTCGAAGAGGAAACAACGGCATAAACGTAAGACTTTACGCGCTCCGCGCGGTTTCTTGTATCCGCGCTGGCCCCCCGGGCGGTGCCTCCAGCGCCGCCCCTGGCAAGTTCCGCGCGCTGGAGAGGGGGGTCCAGCGCAGATCCAAGAACTCCGCGCTGAGCGTCAACAGTTTATGTTTACGGCGTTTTTTGGTTCTTGT